TTGCTGAAGATGATAGCAGAATTGCACATATGAATTCCTAGCACTTATAACTTCATGTGAAGACTTTTTTGTTTCGGGTCAAGCAGGCCATAGTCTCAGAAAAACTAGTGGAGACCTCCTGATATCTCACTCATAATTGAGTAGCTACTGATAATGTATTTGTTTATGGAAAGGGACAGTTAGTTTTCTTCTGGGGCTTTGGCTTTCAGAAGCTACCCATGATCCCTCAATTTTCTGCACATCTGTGTATAAACAGGCAGTCTTAAATGGATATTATATAGCTTTTAGATATGGAGCTTCACAGTTCGCTATTTTAATTGGTATTTTATCATAAATATCTCCATCCAGGAAAAGTTTCTTGGTGTGAGGAGAGGAATAACATTACTCTTAGATATGAGGACAAATATTTATACATCTCAGAGGTTATGTTGATTTAATTTAATAAATTTAAGGAAGTAGATTCTCCTCCAAAATCATGATTTCAGTACCACTGAGAAATTAACTATGTTTCCAGTCCTAGTCATGGTATTCCTCTTGTTGTACAGGGATAGTGTGTACAGGTCATAGGTGTGATTTAAAAGCTGTTGGATACATCCAGGTAAGCATGTCAATATTGCAAACTTAGGGTTATTTTGTTCTTCTGTGCCTTAATGTTATTTGTAACTATCACAAGAATGATGATTGCATTCCCCTTTTGGATGCATGCACAGTCCTGATAGATACAGCTAGAAAAGTCTCACATAACTAAATCTTAGGCAATGCTGAATCAAATGTTGCAGAAGAATTGCATGTGGCAAATTTTCAAGGATTTTGGTATGACAATGTGTCTTTTAGTAATATAAGATGCTCTGCAAGTAGAGTCCCAGCAATATGACTGGCCTAAAATCATCTGAATAACGATGTTACAAATAAACATTCCAAGTAGGAAACACAAAAGCCCTCATGCACTCAAATGTGCCACATTTTCTCTATCTATTCTTCAGGTGAGGGGCATCTGTGTTGCTTCCAGGTTCTGTCTATTACAAATAATGCTGTGATGAACATCGTTGAACAGATGTCCTTGTTGTATGAATGTGCTTGTTTTGGGTATATGCCTAAGAGTGTAATTGTTGGATCTTGTGGTAGACTGATTCCCATTTTCCTGAGAGATTGCCATACAGATTTCCAAAGTGGCTGTAGGAGTTGTCTGTCCCATCATCAGTGGATAAATGTTCCCCTTTCTCTAACTAGACCTCAGCATAAACTGTCACTGGTGTTTTTGAGTTTAGCCATTCTGACAGGTGTAAGATGGTATCACAGAGTTATTTCTTTCTTTTGAAGGAGATATTTGTAGGGCAATGTTGTATACATAAAGTTCTAATCAGGTTGATGACACATGTGTTTAATCAAAGCACTGGGGGAAACTGACACAGGGAGTATAAGGTCAGCAGAAATCAGAATGGCCCTGTACATAATGGATGCTTCTGGTTAATAGCCAGATTCTATGTTCAAGCCCTCTAATGGATTTTCAGTTTCCAGGTGCCATGAGTGATTTTGTCTGTTATTAAGTGCAGCAGGATTCCTTGTTAAATCACATTTAACCTGGCATTTCTTTTCAATTTTCCTGCTTCTACTACAACTGACAGGGAGGGTGAGAGGTAGATGGGACAGCAGCTCTGATGGAAATCTCCCTAGTTACTGCACAGTATGGATTTCCATTACTAGGCTTAGGATCTCTTTCTTGATTGACCCAAATCTATTCTCTATATGATTGTATACAGCCAATCAGAGGCAACCAAAACTCATAAAAGTCTCCTCACACAGGGCTTTTTGCCAAATCACTTTGTCATATTCTTTGTTATCAAAAAAATGAGAATTTAATACAATAGATGGGCATTTATATATTATTCATATAACTATCTCTTAATCACTTACTGTACACTAATCAGTCATCTTTCAAATTCATTATTTCCTCATTAATTATATTGTTACATATATACACATCTAAGTTCATATGTATTAATATGTAAACATAACATAATGAATCCATTTTTTGTACCTAGCTCTACAGTATTTTGTGGAGATGATGACAACATGGTAATGCAATTAGGCATCATGTTTGATGAAATGTTTCTAAGGGCCTGTAATTCCACAGATTCACTAGCCCTGTCATGAATGTTGATTTAAAATATAAAGCATGATTTACCTGTTTTAAGCAGGACTCGGGTTCAGTTACGTAGATACTAGATAATGTAAGATAAATGAGCCAGGAGTTCACCATTAGTTATATCGAGCCATGCTGGTCATTGTGCTTAAAAGGTACCATAAATAAATTGGACAATTTTTTTGTGTTTTTTTTATTAGATTAGGAACAAGCTTGCTTCACATGTCAGTGCCTTCTTCCTCTTCCTCCCCTCCCCTAAAACTCCCCCCAACCTATCACCTGTCTCCCACCCTATCCACGTTCCACTTTCTTAGTTAGGCTACGGCCTTCATTACTTGTACACAAAACCATATGCACAAACCACTTACAAATATATAAATAAATATATAATCAAATATAGGTGTTATGTGAATGAAAAGTCTATTTTCATGTGGTATTGACTTGTCCTAGAAGTTTGGAGAACCTTTTACATAGTATGCCTTTTGTCATTTGTAATTGGAGTTAAATAATAATAACAAGTATATGATAATTTTGAATCCACCACATTTCTCAAATAATTTTGTATTTCTATGTGTGTGTGTGTGTGTGTGTGTGTGTGTGTGTGTGTGTGTGTCTGTGGGCATGTTATCAATTTTAGTAAGTTTGCAAACGAGAAATGGATTGGAATTTCAGGAATTTGTTCTTATTTTCAATATAATTTCATTGATACCAGATTGACTCTGGTTCTGTATATATTTTATAGTTATGTTGATCATTAGGACAAAGGAAGGGAACCTATGTGAACATCAGTATATACAGCATCTGTAATCTGTACATTACTTGCAAATATTGAATTATATTAATATTAACACAGTTTGTCTAGATATTTGGTACTTATTAATCCTCACTTTGATCTTAGTAATCATATGGAATTTATTTACTGCTTGTACACACACACACAAACACACACACACATATATTGTAATTACTATTTGTTTTTGCTTTTTAAAATTTAAATTAGAAACAATCTTGTTTTACATGTCAATCCCAGTTCTCTCTCCCTCCCCTCCACACCTGCTCCTCTGCTATTCCCAATCTCATGCCCTTTCTGTTCTACAGGGAGGGTGATTCCATTGGGGATCTTCAGAGTCTGTCATATCATACGGAACAGGGCCTAGACCCTCCCCCATTTGTCTAGTCTGAGAGAGTATCTCTCTATGAGGAATGGGCTCCCATAGCCCATTTGTATACTAGGGATAAATACTGATCCACTACCAGAGGCCCCAAGATTCCCCAGAACTCCAAACTGACATCTAGGCACATGGTGTCTGGAACTGTGTTACACTGGTTTTTCAGCTATCAGTCTTAGGACCGTGAGCTTCCCCTTGTTCAGGTTACCTGTTTATGTGTTTTACACCAGCCTGGTCTTAACCTGTTTGCTCATCACTCCTCCCTCTCTGAAACTGTATTCCAGGAGATCAGCTCATTGTTTAGCTGTGGGTTTCTGCTTGTGCCTCATCAGCTACAGGTAGAAGGCTCTAGGAGGGCATATAAGGTACTCTTCAATCTCAATATTGGAGAAGGGCATTTCATATAGCCACTCCACTATTGCTTAGATTGTTAGTTTGGGTCACTTGTAGATCTCTGGACATATTTCTCTTCAAACCTACAATTTCTCCCTCAAATATGGTGTCTGTTTTTTAGCTCTCCTCTATTCATTCCATGACCAAATATTTCTGCTCTCTCATGACCTCCTCTCCCCTTCACTTTTCTGCTTCTCTTTTCCTAACTACCTCTCCCCTCCTGCCATCCTCGCGATTTACTCGAGAGAACTTCTCTATTTACCCTTCTCCAGGGGACCATGTATGTCTCCTTTAGGGTACACTTTATTTCGTAGCTCTTCTGGACATGTGTATTGTAGGCTGGTAAACTGATGCTCTATATCTAAAATCCCTATATGAGTGAGCACATTACTATTTGTTCTTAAACATGTTCTTTTTCCTTCTATGATGTTGACACATGATCTCATCACTCTGCTCATCATGATCCGACACAGCCACTGAGGACGTCCTTTTCTGCC